AAGAAAACTATGGGAAGACTTAGGAAGGTAAAACCTGAAGCAGAAATGGATTTCCTTGGCTTTTTTCTCTATGGTATGCAACCAGGGTAATATTTCTAGAATCTTCTTACACCTCCAAACTTACCATGGACTTTGGTAAGCAAGGACTAGTCAGAATAAAACATACTAGAAAGGTTAAGAAGGGGTTGCTGAATTTTGTTTAGTTTTGACCACAGGAAAGCTCTTTTCCAAAGCTATCCCAGCATGCTTTCCGAGAAAGGGACATGTCAGAGTGAAGGACCACAGTGGTTTCTTGGTCCCTGGCATACAATCACTGTGTAGACTCAATCCTGGCAGCTGAGAATAAGAGGTAACAAGTGTGTACACGACAGTACATATCTGCCTTTAAACTTCCTGGCTTGAGTTGTATCCTCTAGAGTACAGTCCTCACAGCCTTAATTCACTCACGTCAGCAGGGTGGGGGTGGGGGTAGATGTTGTCATTGTCCTTTAAGTGTAGCTAGGGGCTGACTCATATCTCAGGTTTTTCTATGTTAGTGAAATACTTAATGTTTCCTATAGTGATTGCTAAAACCAGCATAGAATGACGTGGTTTGACGCTGACGGGCTTGATTGGGAGGAGGAGGATGAGCCTCACGGACACGCTGTTCTGTACAGATGAGCTGTGTGTGGGCATAAGATGAAGGCAGGGCAGACACTGCACAGGGAGCACGGCCACTCTTGAGATTCTGTTCAGCAATCTGTGTTTTTAGATACATATCAAAACGTCTAAAGTTCTCAAAGCTTCACAGTCAATTTTGATACATTGTATACACACGTTTAGTATGTAACAATCCACCTTCTTGAAATCTGGTCACACCGCTAAGACATGATTTAAGAATGAAATGTGTTCCGGGAGGATTGGGGATTTGGTGGCTTCAGTATCTTTGGGCAGTGTATTGTCTAATGTCATGTGTCATGTAGGGAGGTGCTCTCTGGGCTGGTCCCTTCTGTGTAGCTCATAGTCATACACTACAGCTGTCAGTCCTTTATCACTGTCATAGCAGTTCTTGGAATCACAGCTGCCATGTTGAAAGGGCCTGCCTCTGAGGCACACTGTGGGTAGTGTGGTTCGGTCTCCTCATGTAAGCACAGGGAAGTCTGAAGTCTACTGGGATGATGCAAAGTGGTGATTTTAATAAGCAAAACTAGACTCTGAGAAATGCTGGAAACTATTTAGACCATTTATAAAGTTAGAGTGGAAAGACTGTATAAATGTTTAATATAAACATAGTGTTCTTGGAGTAAGGCAAGCTGTTAAATGGTTCACTTGTGCATTTCTCATTTTGAAGTGTCATGTATGTTAATATGATGAAATAAAATCAAAACTGGTACCTGTTTATACATCGGTGTGAGAAGCGACTTCTCTCTGCAGCCCTCACCCTTGGTGGGAACCACTGTCTTAAGTTGCAAAAGAAGGGGGTCACAGAACCACAAGTGACAGCTTTAACCATTTAGAATGAAGGTGGCAGCTGATACATCACATGTGCCATTCACATGGAACAGAGGCAGACGCTGCTCTGTGTTCCCAATGCCAAGCACACACTGAGGAAGCCTTCCTACCTGTCTGATTTCAGGATACACAAAGACTGCATGTGCACTTACCACAAATATGATTCCAGAGTCCTTACAGGAGAAACTGAGGAGGATGGCCTTTAGATTATTCTCAGAAGCTGAAATGAGGGTCGGGTGGTGGAATGCTTACTTCACATTCATGAGGCGCTGACTTTGATCCCTAGCACTGTATAATCCAGACATGGGAAATGATGGAAATCCCAGCACTCGGGGTATAAAGGTAGAAACCTCACGAGTTTATGGTTATCTATGGCTACACAATGGGTAAGGAGGCCTGACTGTACTTAATGAGACCCCATTTCAACCAACAAAAAAAATCTGTTCCCATGTTATATATACCTTAATGACATTTGATCATATGAGAAACTTGGCCTCACCAGTTAATCAAAAGTACACACTAAAGAGATGAAATGCTGCTGTCGCTACAAGGCAGACTGGTTATAAAGGAAACCATGGGCCAGTGAGATAGCTCAGCAGCGGGTAACGGTGTGCCACACAAACCTGACAACCTATTTTCAAGATCACCAGAACCCATGTCAAGATGGAAGAAAATAGCAATTCCACAACATTGTGTGAACTACACACACACGCACACACACACAAGGTGGGGGCAGCCAGGAATATTACACTGAGACTGCTGCTGGGAATGTAGCTCAGTGGCAGAGTGCTTCCCCAGAATGTCCAAGGCCCTGGGTTTGATTCACTAGCACTTGAACCAAAGAAACCACAAAACCTAAACAAGATCAAGCCATTCCTCTGTTCCAGCCTGTGGTGTTCCTGAAATTCATTCTATCAAAGATTTACTCTGCAGACAACATGGCTAGGTATCTAGGTTCACGGTATATTTTCTATTCCAAGTTAACTGCTAAAAGAAGGCAAGAAATATACATACATGTACATGAATATATGCATAGTATGTATATACGATTACTAATGATACAACTATAAGGGAAACAAAGATATGTCTTGGGGTTTCTGTTCCTGTGATAAAACATCTTGACCAAAAGCAACTTGGGGAGGAAAGGATTTTTTTTTTTGCCTTACACTTCCACATCATAGTCCATCACTGAGGGTAGAAACTCAAAACTGGGCAGGAAGCTGAAGGCAGGAGCTGATGCAGGGGCCATAAGGGAGTGCTGCTTACTGGCTTGCTCCTCATGACTTGCTTTCTTATAAAACACAGGACCCAGGGTTGGTACTGCCCACAGTGAGTGAGCTGAGCCCTCCCACATCAACCATCCATCCAGAAAGTACACTTCAGACTTGCCTACAGGTTAATCTAGTGGGGGCATTTTCTCAATTGAAGTTCCCCTCTTTGAAAAGGACTCTGTGTCAAGCTCACATAAAACGTAGCCAGCAAACGATGAAATCTTAATGCCCTAAGAGTATATATTATAGGCTTTTTTGGGGAGTGGGGGGTGTTTTGTTGTTTTTGAGTATCAGGTTCCACTGTAGTCTAGACTGCCTTTGAACGCAGAGCTTAGCCCAAGATGTCCTTGAATATACAGTGATCTGCCTCAGTCTTCCAATCACTGGGACGAGAAATGTGCTCCACCAGACTTCATTATCACTTGCTTTAACTCCGCCCAACATGTATAAAAAACACCTGCACATATAACAAGAGTGAAGGCCAGCTTCAGTTGCCCCTCACTGTAGTAAAGAACCCTCAGAAGTGCTCTCTTTGTCCCTAAATACAGATAAGCACATCCCAGGGAAGCAAAAGAGGTTCTTAGAGGCACAGTGGAACTCTGGTTCACAAAGCAAGGGGGGGAGGGAGGGAGGGATACCTTGGGAGCTTACCGGTTAAAGACAAGATGCCCTCCACGTGCTGGGTGTGGTGGCGCCTGTTATCCTAGCACTTGGAGGAAGAGAGGGAACATCAGAAAGCCAAGATCATTCTCAGCTACAGACTGAGTTCAAGGCCAGCAGCCTGGGTTCCATGAAACCTATCTCAAGAACCACAACAAATGAGTTAGATCACAGGCTAAGCAAAGTAAAGTTGGAGGTGGCACCTGATTCCTGTATTGTTCACAAAACCCTGTGGACAACTGGCCCTTCTTTCTCTGAAGGTTTATGAACAGATCTCTATGCACAGAGTTGGGTTCCAAATATTCCAGAAACTCCAGGAAAGACAATGATGGTGGTGGCTTTAAAAATGCCTCCTGCCATTCAAGGTGAAAAAACCTGAGTGCCCACTGCATTACTGTTCAACTTTCTGCCGCTTTGAAACTCAGAAGAAAAAAGGAAACACTATTTCTGAAGGTAAAGGGGCTCCATCTAGCCACACCACATATCAAAATCCGGTGTGGCAATCACACTAAGCAGTGTGAAATATCAAAAATAGCATGAACGCTATGGGGAAAAAAGATCAATGAATCAGAACTCAGTCTGGAACTAAAGCCTCAATTATCTGACAACTGAACACACAAACGAGACAGACGCATAATATACTGAAACCACCTGGAGAATTACTCAATGCAGGCTGCCACTTCCTCCACCCTGGAATGCTCTAGAATGACCTCGGGGGATTTAATAGGTTTCTGAGCTACCGGACATGTGTTTTAAATTGTACCCCCCAGGAGACTGCTCTAGAAATGGCTGAGACTCAGTCACGAGAAAACAATGGAAAGACCACCTCCACCGGGGAGCTCAGCAGAGGTAAAATGATGGCCCCGCCCCCAGCATGAGCTGCAGCTTCCCAAGCTCTGTCAGCCCACCTTCCCTCCTTCCATGTGAGGGATGAAAGCATCGGCCCCCAAGAAGGGAGGCAGAACACAGCCAAGAATATGCCCAGAAACCAACCAAGAGTGGTTGGCCCTGCCTGGGACTTCCAATGTTAGTTAGTATACTTAGTCCCTGGGAATGTACTAGACATATCACCTCAGCAATGAGGGGCGCAGGGGCAGGAAGCAGCCACAGGTCAGCTTAGCCTAGTAGTGAGTTCTAGGCCAGCTGGAAGTACATGGACCCTGTTGTAATCCCTAACCCCCACAAAAAGAAAATACTAGACATTACTATTTTTCCCTGCATCTTATTTAATCTTTTTCTTCCCTGTAGTTCAAATATTCATGCCATTCAACCGTCTTATGCCCTGTGTTTAATTTGGGTTCTAAGAACATTATAAATTAATATCTGATTAAGGACCAGGATTTTTAGGGCCTGGTAAAATGGCTGTATGCGTAAAGGTGCTTGTCATGCAAGCCTAGTTTGATCCCCAGAATCCACACAACTGTGGAAAGAGAGAACCAACTCCACAGTTGTCTTCTGACCTCCAAGCATGCACTATGACAATCCTACTCACACAGGACATAATCATATACACATCACAATTAATAATAAAGAAAATTACAAATTAAAAAACAAGATGAGAATCAGATCAAGTTTAGCTGCTACACAATAAATTAATCAGATTCATTTTAATTTTATAAAAAAAACTTAGGTTATTCTGACACCTGACAGAATCTCTCTGGATTCTGGAGGAATACAGGGAAGACGGCGGAGGTGGCAGACTCCCAGCCCTGCAGACCCCGAAGACCCAGCGCTTATCTTCAGGCCTGTCCCCTGCACTCACTGCACCTCTTCCTTCCTCGGGCTGGAGCTCTTTCTCAGCTTCATGCCCTACAGACGTCAATGGCGGGCAGGGGCTCTACAGCCTCTTTAGTGTCCCTGGCAGAGCAGTGGCGGTCAGTGGGTCTCTGCATGAGACAAGGACAGCCTCTGGAGGATGCGAGCAAATGTCGGTGCAAACCTTGTCATGGCAGCCAAGGTTTGCTGGGTGGACAGAAGCCCGAGCTCTGTATGGAAAAGCAGGTACTACTGGGAAACACCTTCATGAGTGGATGAAGGCACTCTTCAGTTTCCAATGACCCACAAAAGGAGCATGGTACTGGAAAAACAAAAAGATGGTGTTCTGGCAGGACAAGAAGACAGTAGAGATACCTCCCTGACGTGATGGGTACCATTGGGTGGGAACAGCAACTGGAACCAGTTAGAGCTTATATTTACAACCACAAATCAGAGAGCCTGCAGAAAGTCTCACGAGGCGCCAAGGAGAACAGTTTCTTGACATTTTCTCCAGTTTCCTTGCAGTAGCTAGACAACCTACACTTTGTAGGTTCAAAAAAAAAAATCAGAGCAAAATAAAAATAACTCTTGATGCAAAGTTCTTTACAGAATTCCCGGTTATTCAACTGTCCCAACTTGGGTTATGAAGAACTACCACACTGGAAAGTCCATGTGGGTCAGCCACACCTGGGCAAGCAGCAGGGCCCAGGCGAAGCTGGAGGAGATGCGCCCGCGGAGGAGGAGCCTGCTAGTGCCGCTCCCGCTCTGGCCTCATGCTGAAGGGCTCCAGGCGCTCGGCCTCCGGCAGCATGCTGTTGAGCCTCTCCATCAGTGGCACCGTCTGGTCTATGCCCATCTGGATGCGGCGCAGGATGGCTGACATCTCATTCACCTTCTGGATCTGCTCTGCATACTTGGCATATCTTTTCTGGCGCTCCTGCATGAAGCAAAAGAGGGTTTCCACGGACAGATCCATCTGTAGGAAGTAAACAGAGGCAGCACGTTACACTCTGCTTACCACATCGTCTAGAGCAGTGGTTCTCAACCTTTCACAGGGGTAGTTTATCAGATTTCCTGTATCTCGGACACTTACATGACGATTCCTAACAGTAGCAAAATTAGTTATGAAGCAGCGATGAAACAGTTTTATGGTTGAGGTCAACACAACATGAGGAACTACATTAAAGGGTTGCAGCATGAGGAAGGTTGAGAACCACTGGGAGGGCTAGGTGTCCTTCCAGAAGTCGGAGGCAGTGGCCATCCTGAGGACTACTGAGACCTACTATGGGACACCTGGAGTGTGTGCTCCTCACTCCCTGTTGAGAGTCTCGAGCTTTCTGTCTATGGAAATGCTGGCACCATGTTCCCTGTCTCTTACGCTGCTGCATTTATGTTTGGCCGGTTGAAGTGAACAGACTCTTCCTGCTGTGTCACCACCAGTCCCAGAATATGCTGTCCAGGCTGCAGCCTAGAACTAACAGGCACTGTCCCCAGCCTGAGTGTGCAGTGGGCTTTACCACACAGCTGTGCATGCTCTCACTCCACACATCGTGTGGAAATGACCCACACAGTTCTTAGACCGTTGTAGACTATCTCTGTCATCAAAGGACACACAGCTGTGACCAGAGTTGTAGGAACGACAGAATTACACACAGATATCTAACCCAGGACTCATGCTACAGAGTTCTCACATCTCTTCGGTCTCCTCCTCCCAGAATGACTTTGGTGAAGCTGTGATCAGTCAGGGAAACTATAGCGAAGGCATAGCTCCTATGCCAAAGCCCAACATGCCAACTGCATCCCCAGCCCACGAGGGAGACTAGAACATCATACAAACTGCACACTGCTGGGAATGCCCTTGTCTCTGCTGGGCACATCTGTCACTGGTAAAGATGAAGGAGGGCACTAACTGTGTTTTGCATGCCTGCACCACATCTACCCATGCGCTGACACTTCTGAGATTCTCACTGCAACACAATGAGAGGCCCCATTCGGGTGGACTGCGGTTTTGTTCTGAGCCTGCCACCAGGTCTTCTTTATCTCTGAGCTTTGAAGACCAGCTGAAGAAGTACTAATGGTGTCTGTCTGTCTGTCCATCCATTCTCCTTCTCCCTCCTTAAACTTCTAAACATCACTACAGCTGTCCTGTCGGCTCCTGTTTCCCTCCTCCCCAGCCTCTTCCTTCCTACTGCATGCTAGAGCCCAGGATGTCTTACCATGTAGAGCCTCTGAAAAAAGTTTTGACAAAAATGAGAGGTCAAAGCCAGGGCCAAGGAAAGCCAACCCTACTTTTACACAGTGAAACTGGGGGTGGGAGGGAGAAGGAGAATGGATGGATGGACGGACAGACAGACAGATACCATTAGTACTTCTTCAGCTAGTCTTCAAAGCTCAGAGATGAAGAAAACCTGATGGCAGGCTCAGAACAAAATCGCAGTCCACCCAAATGGGGACTCAGTGTGGTTGTCTTCAGAGAAGCTGCCTACACATCACTCAGCTCTTAGGAAGCAGTGTGCCAACAGCTCAGTGCCACTGCTGGCCTCTATCAGGGCCTGCCAGGATGCCCCAAAATAAGTCCCTTGGGAGGGACAATGGTCTTGGGAAGATATAGCCAGGACAGTTCAGTCAACAGCTCAGACTCTGCAGTCTTCCCCAGTCATCACGTTATCTACCCTGCTGGGAGGTCCCCTGCTCTCCATCCTTGACCCGCACAGGGACAGACACGTGAGTCAGACATAGGAGTTTACCTGAATTGACCTCAAAGGCTCCTGTGGGCCATGGCTAAGGTGCTTGGCAATCAACTCACTGACTCTGACCTGCAGCTCAGGGGTCTTACAACCATCTTGTCAAGTGTTTGTTCAGATGCACACACTTCCCTGCATGGTCCCATGTCCAGCCGGGCACAAAGCTACTGCCTAGTGGAATGGCACCACTGGGTGAACAGTGCACACACCATTCCATACAAGTGACTCTCAGGATCTGCCTTGTGCCATGCTGGCTCCCACGGACAGAGACACTCAAAACCCAAACTCCTTCTACCCACACCATTCACTGTGCACATTAGCATGACTTTCCACTGTCTGCTAACATGACTTTACTGTTACAGGAAACACAGGCAGTCCCAGAAATTGAAAAGTCACAAGTAACTAGGTTACGGGGACTTCCACAAGAAACCCCAACTATTTAGACAAACAGTTTGATTTTCCAATAACAGTGAACTCCTGTTTATTGCCCATAACTTGTGTTTGAGAACCCTTGCCCTGCTGTGGTCCTGTGCCTGTGTTCTAGTCTGCTCTGGTGGATGTGTCCATCACGGCAGCCTCTGGGGACTTTCCTCAGTCACCACCTGGCAGTGAGCCTCATCGTCTCCCTAGTTCTTCCTCTCCTGCTGCAGCTCACGGAGAACATGGACGTCATGCCCATGGGTTGGCAGGGAGGTAAACGACAAGAAGTCCGTGGACTTTGTGGGGAAGAGCTTCTGTCTGGCTGAGAGAGAAGTAGTCTCTCATTTTACATAAGTCTCTGCAATGTCGGGGTTCTGCAACACCAGCACAGTAAAGAGGTGATGCTGCTGTTCTCACAAGCTCACGGTTCAGTTATCCCCGTCTTCAACCCTTGTCCTCCACCCGACACACTGTCTCCGGAAGCAGGATGTCTCCAAGGACCACCATACACACACCATAGTATATGTGTACCCCACACATGCATAAATAAAAAGAAAAAAAAAGGCAAGCCAAATACAAAAAAACAGATTTATATCCAGAAAACCAATTAGTATTGGCAATTAATGTTAAAAAAAATCCATCAAGTCCTATAAGGACACCAGGGACATTCCACACAGATACAAGAGACACGCTCCTGAGCCTGGGTAAGTCAAGTGGAGCCTGAGCACAGTGGCCCTGGAGGGGAGGCAGAGCTAGAGGTGTTACGATACTTGATGCCAAGATATACTATGAAGCTATAGAACATCAACTAATGGACAAAACAGAGCCCAGAAATAAATCCATGTGTTTACAAAAGAGTAGTCAGCCTAGATGTTCATTAGGAGATGACTGGTACAGTGCAGGACAGACACAGGAGAGTCTGTTTGGCTGTAAGAATGAATAAAAGAATGGACTTGTGTCATCTGCAAGGAAGCAGACAGAACTGGAGACTGTCATCTTAAGCAAAGTAAGCCAGGCTCAGATGCATGCTTTCTCACATATGCAGAATCGAGATGATTTTATTTGTCTTACCACTATAAAAACTTCACAAAGCTGTTACCAAACTGAAATAGGGCATTTGGAGTAACCTAAATCTGTGTCCCCAGACCACAGTCATGAATATTTGGCTTTCGGAATAAACTCGTATTTTCTGAGGTGAGAGCTTTGTTTTTACATGGTCATAAAATAAATCTCTACGGAGTGTGACTCTGCTTTGTTAAACATCAAGTGACTAAACCGGGCGGTGGTGGCGCACGCCTTTAATCCCAGCACTTGGGAGGCAGAGGCAGGCGGATTTCTGAGTTCGAGAGTTCGAGGCTAGCCTGGTCTACAGCGTGAGTTCCAGGACAGCCAGGGCTACACAGAGAAACCCTGTCTCGAAAAACCAAAAAAAAAAAAAAAAAAAAAAAAATCAAGTGACTGTGTTCTTTGTCGTGAACTTCTGACCTGTGAAATATTACAGCGTACCCCCCCTCTACGTTTCCTGACAGAACTATCTCACACCACCAAAGAAACCAAGTCCTAGTTACCAACAAGTCCTTCCTGTTCTTTTTTGTTATCAGTTTGGAGTACCAAGGATAGGCCCCAAGACCCACGCTGGGCACATGCTCTGACACTGGCCCCAAGTCTCTTTAGTCACCATTTTCAGCTTTGAATATAAGCCAACTCCTATAAACATTGGTCAGACCCAACATGATAACAATTAAAATATAAGTAAACACAAGTGCATGTGTTTTTAGAAATATTTTAGCAGTGTTAGGGATAGACCCCCAGGGCCTCACACAATCTAGGCAAGCCTGGGCCATCTCCCTGACCTCACACAATCTAGGCAAACCTGAGCCGTCTCCCTGACCTCACACAATCTAGGCAAGCCTGGGCCATCTCCCTGACCTTATAAGACACTTTGAAAAGATGCTGAGCACAAGGCACGCACCTTTAAACTTGCACTGGAGAGGCAAAGGCAGGCAGGTGTCTGAGTTCAAAGCCAGCCAGTGACAGAGTGGCACCCCAAAACAAAAACAGACTTCCTTTTTTAAAACAATACTTAAATAAAAAGGAAATATGAACTGGATCTTGTGTCATACATCTGTAGTCTCAGCATCAAAAAGACAGGAAGACTGGCCAAGCTTAGAAGACTGAAGCCAGCCTGCGTATCATACCAAGACCTTATCACAAAACAAAATAAAACAAAATCAAAAACCTCTTATGGGCTTAATTAATTAAGTAAAAACTGATGATTCTTCAGATCATTTAAAAGTAATGTTTTAAAAAGTAATGTTCAGCCTTTAATGTGATTTCTATGTTAACTTAAGCCTCAAGATCCACTTTGATTTGGTCTCAGTAGAGAGCTCGCCTTCTCCGCACACAACGCCTGCTTCCCCAGGAGAAGGCATGAGGAAGAGGCGGGCATTAGGGAGCACAGGCATGGGGACAAGGCTGGCTGAGCAATGGCTGCCGTCAGCTTCTCCGCTCCCGCTCCGCCCCAGCCTTGTTCCCTCTCTGGATGGACAGTGCAAAGCCATGCAGGGATGCACCACTCGGCTCACTTCCTGAAGAGCTGAGAGGGAAAACGACAGTCAGTGAACTGTGACCTCAGCAACAGTCTCCTGGGTCCTGGCCAGGACCAGATTTGCCTATTTGTTGATGGGTGCTCTCAACACAAAATAGTTTTTTCCTCAGTTTGTTGTGGACCCAAATATAAGTGGCTGTGGTCTGAGAACAGATTTTGGTTACCCCAATTGCCACGCTCTACTGTAATCATCTAATAAAGTTA